TTTTGAAAAAGAGAGAGAAAAAAAAAAAAGAGGAAGGAGCGGTTTAATGATGCTTTGTTATATCCTCATATCACAAATCAATCTAGGTCTCCATAGGCAGACATTCTTTAATCTCATGAACTAGTCATTATTTCTAGTTTAACCTCCCTCTATCTATCTTTCTCTCTACCCCTCTCTCTTTCTCCCTCCCTCTCTCTTTCTTTCTTTCTCTTATTTTATCCTGAAGGGAGTTTTTCTGAAATGAATTTTTAGCTCACGCGACATATCTGAAATTAATTTCTGGCTCATGCAAGATACAAAATGTATGTCTTATTTTCAGCACTAAGAATTAGATTTTAACCATTTCCCTATTTAACAAATAATTATATATTTGTTGAATTTTTTGAATGCCTTAAATTATTCAAGCGAAAAAAAAATGAAAGTTTGAAAATGTTTTGCATAAAGTTAAATAATTAAGTTTATTTTGTGATAATAAATTAACAAAAACCCTTGTTAATATTATAAATTTGTTGATACAAAAAAAAAAAAAAATTAAATTAGTTATACATTCGTTGTAATGGTTACTTTCTTATGAATGATAATGTATTTAATTGAAAGTCAATAATTGTATTAAGTGGAAAATCGATATTCGTATATCAGTTATTTTTTATATCACTTTTGATTCTATTAATTATTGCTATTATTATTTAAAGATTTTTTTTTTTAAAAGTAAATATTCGAACAATATGAACATTGAATGTTTTTATTTTTAAATTTTATTTTCAGGAAAATTAAATGACTGGCAGCACTCCAATATTATTCATACCAATGATGAGTGAAACTGTTATCCGAGATGCAGTAACAGATCAATCTTATCAAGCTAGCTCATCTCATCAACATTTTCATCTTAACGGATCATTAACCGGAACTCATAATTATTCAAAATCTGAAATTTTTGGTAATCGAAAAAACCGTCGTAATCGAATCAATATATTACATTTACTCTATCGACAATTAACCAAAATTGCATCACATAATTTTTACGTAACACAACGACGTAACAAACAATCGGAAATACGTCATAACGTTGATGATAATAATGAAATGAAGCAAATGTTAGGATGTAATGGTAAGTTAATAGAAAATATTAAACTAATATAAATTTTATTTAAAAAACTTTTCCAAAATGTAAAATTAATAATTTGATTTTTTATTGGAGTTACTTTTTTTGAAAGATAAAATAAAACAATGCTAATGTACTAATGCCGAGTGTATTTTATGAATGCAACATTTGTTTTTAACAAATTTTTTTGCTATTTAAATTTAAAATTAATGAAATCTTACGGCAAAAAAAAAATATATTCTTCAATGAAATATAATTTCACTATTGCATTCACTAATAACAGATACATGATAATTTGATCACATAAACAAATTAAGATTCCAATAATGCTAATTTATGCGACGATCATAGCGAAAATAATTGTGATCAATCTATTGAAAATATAAACAGTGATCGTGAAAATGATGAAATTTATCATTTTCAAACGACACCAGCTGTTTATCAGGATCCATATTGTGCTGTAACTGTTGATCGGAAAGTTCACATTTATGGATATTATGTACAAAATGATTCAAATTGTTACTATAACGTAAATATTTTTTTTCTTATCTTTATAATACCATAATTACTGTAACGTGATCGTTTTGAGGAATGTTTGTATATGTATAATAGATTTCTAAACATATTGTTTTGCTTCTATTTTATTTTTAAATTTAATCTTAAAAATCAATAATCTCTTTCAGAAAACAATATATCATAGAATTTTATAAGAAGCTTAGATAGTATTTTCAATTTTTATAAATTTGTTTTGAAATTTGTCAAATTTTTTTATGCCATATTTCATCCAATACAGCATTTTCAATAAATCTTATAATATTTTGGCCAGTTCAAATTTTTGGTTAATTCATCCCCTTGAAAATGAAATGCATTTACAGGCACAAAGTACACGAACTGTTTATGCAAATGATATTGCCGCAATTTTTCACACCGACAATGAAGGACAATTAAGCGGTAACATTTGTCGATCATGGGGACTTTCGCGGAATTCCGTTTGGTGGGCAGCTGATCCGCAACGGTAATTTATTTGTGAAATAAAATTGAAATAACCGGAATCTGATGCGGAAAAAAGATGCAACAGTCGTAATGAATGCAAATGATTAGAACCAATATTTTTGGAAAATCATAAATCCAACATTCATCTTTGTTCATCCAGCAAACAATCTTGCATTCATTATCATTTTAACTTACCAGAATATTTCCTTAATTCAATGCAACACTAACAATTCTTACCATTACTTCCTTTTTTCAATTATCTCTTTTACTACAACTACTCTATCTTACGATTACTTAATCTTTACCTCACTGCTTATCCGACACCCTATTTTGATAATTTTATTAAATTCAAAATTTCATTCCGATTTCCTGATTCATATATCTTTAAATTGATTGGTCTTCTTTGGAAGGGTAGTATTGTTTAAGTCTAAAGTCTGAAGATCACTTCCGTAAGTACATAACGATTGAAACTTGGAAGTGACAATGAATTACTCATAGTTTGTGGGAAAAGCCAAATATTTGCTAAGTATTCTTAAGATTTAGCAGACGAGATGAAAATCCAACTTCAACTGATCCTTGTCTAAGCTGTCGAGTTTTGAAAGCAAACTTTCTGAGTTTAATTGAAATCCAATTTTAGTGGTTTACACTGGATTTGATATTTTGAACCGAAATTAGATAATATTTCGAAACAAATTTGCCATAATAAATTCAAATTTTTCGAAATGAAAGATCGAAATAATAAATTTCAGAAGTGATTCCGGAAAGGAGATGTGTCTAGTTGTTTTACAGCTGAAAGAACACCCAATTCTGATCGGTTTTACCATTATCAAATTGGCTGCTTTCATAAATGCTCTAAAAATCTGTGGTCTTAACGAAGACTGCAAGTTCATTTCCTCATTACCCACCGTAATGGAATCCGGTGTTCCAGGAATCAGGTATTTCAATTTCATTTCTCATCAGTTTTTTTTGTTTTTGATTTTGATCACAACGATTTTTAGGAGCACTAGCGGTTTTTGGTGCTTAACATCAGACTGTTGTTCCAAATTGCTCACACACTAACTTCTTTTTTTAAAATGGATCAAATATTTCAGTAAATTCTAACGCAAATGAATGCACCATTTTTTAATCCTAATTGCTTAATCTCAGGCCAAATGAAGAAATCAGTCAAAAAGAAACAAAAGCTCCAAGCGATGAAGTCTCACTCGAGGTACACCACCAATTTTTATTATATCGATTTATTAAGCGTTCTAAAATATTAACGGCAACATCTAACTTAAACCTTCACCGGTTTCACTGTTTTTTCCTTTCTTTTTTTCCTTTTTTAGGATAACATGAGCAAGAATTCTGAATGAACGACTAGGCCGCCGCCGCTTTCATCGTTAAATTACATCAGGCATGAATTTTCATCTCCCTCTCAGGTTAAATTGCATATTTCATATCGATGAAGCAAAAAATTGAAATGGTTGAAAAATAATCTCCCGGGGAAGCTATCCAGAAATTTCTAGATACACTACCGAAATGACCAGCCAAGAAACTCGTTCTCTTGGTTATATGAGGTCAGAGCTAACGAAAAAAAAACCACCCCGATATTCAGTTAGTGATAAAATACCAGAAAAGACCTGTAGAGTAGGGTACCTACTGGTTCAACTTCATTTCAAACTTCGATTATTACAATTTTATTCCATGATAGTGATATCAGCCATTTCAAAATGAAATCTATAACGGGTGCTTGATTTAAACAGTTATTATGTGTTGATGTGATTTCTCTTGTACACAATAAACACAATGCCGCGGATTGAAACCAATGAAGAACATTTAGTAAAACATGACGAGAGCCGAAGAATAATATAATTGGAAATGGATACTGAAGCCAGTAACTAATAATCAAAGGCAAATAGAAAATCAATAGATATAAAGGTTCGGCTTAACGGAGTAAACTATGAAAAACTGTGCAGAGATGTAAAGTTTGAGATATCTTTTAGATTAAGATGGCCAGTAGTTACCATAAATCAGCAACATTGCAAATTTAAAAGTAAATCTATCCATTTTAGCGTAAAGCTCTAAAATACAAGTAATGAAACGAATTAAAACGACCATATAAAGATATATATGCATGGGAAAATTTTTGACAAGAAAGTGAAAAAACAAAATGACAAACTAATCACCGAATTACATAAGAATTTTACAAGAATTGGAGGTAGAAAATAACTAAGAAAGTTTATGACTTAGTCATTAATATCACATGATACATAAAATGAAAAAGCCATCATACCAACTTTAATGTGCTCCACTTTTCTAGGAAGTTCCATAGTTTAAAGCACATGTACCACTATTATTGAATAAGCCTATGTTCCTCCTGGAAAAGGTGGTACGATATTTCAGGTAAAGTAATCAAATATTCTCGCGATATTTTGAAAACGAACTACAATTTTGTACATCTCGTAAATAACAGACCAAGAATACAGCTGCATATTTTCAAATGAAGTCAATCAGATTAACACAACATCGCTACGAAAAGACTGATTCCAGAATGTTAGTAATACAAATCAGAACTCCACAAATCAGAACACAGAGGCTTCATAAGTCTGGATAATTGAATAGATAAAATGAAGTGATACAAATTTTAACATTAAAAAAGCAAGGAACTTACTAGTAAACTTCATCCTAAAAAATTCCCAGAACTCCCTTTGAAGATAATGATTCCAAAACTCATCAGCTTTCGTCTACTACTTTTACACAGTTGAACTTTCCTACGTATAAAATTAAATTAACGGCCCACTCCTGTTGAATTAATCTCATACCTAAAACGGTCGCACATATATCATTTTCGATCAAGGCCGGAGATATCAAAAAAAGGGTGCAGCATATTACTTTGTTTCAAAAGGACTTTAATATCATACTATCAGTATAGTGAAGTGGAGAATTAGAAATATTAAGACAGTTACAGAAAAAGAACAGCAAGGTATATGTATGCGTAACCTTATTTATTAAAACTTGGCAAGTAAGATGTGGATACGATATAATTCTGTAAAACTAGCGTCTATAAACTTACAAAACCCCCAAAAATCCCTATGTCTAATATGAATGATACAAAATACTACAAATACAAAGCTATTAGGACGATTGCGTTAATATTTCTAATGACGAACGGTAACTTGAGAAAAATTTACGATACCAGCCGCTGAACCATTGTCTCTAGGTCCTGTTTTTCAAATCATTGACAATGTTACCTGTTTGGTCTCAGTCGATAACCCACATATGCTCAAAGTTACAGCAAATATGCTTATTTTGGTCCTTTCTCCCTTCTCATGCTCCTCTCAAAGTAGATTTGTTGAATGTCTGCTGTTATAATACCACTGAAAAAATATTAAAATTCTCTTGAATCGTTTCACATAATTGCGAGCTTTCTCTGAAGACAAAATTTCATAAGACGACTCAATCACATGATTTATATCTACGAGCTTTTTATATTTTTTGTTAATATATCAGAAGTTCCATTGTTCTTATTTAGCCGTTTGTAGAAGATGGGTACCAAAGACAAAAGCGCAGTAAGAGCCACTACTAATATGGCGCTCCATGACCAAGCTGCTCCCATATGTGTTAGCCTTTGAAGAGTTGCACCTGCCTGGATGTAGATACACGACGGTGGTGCTACGCCTGAAAATCATAAATGCTACCGAAAAAAATAGTTATATATAGAAGAAATACAAGAAATAACAAGCAGTCAGAAATCAAAATATCCAAAAGAGAGAAGTTACAGATCATAGTGGGATTTAAAATCAGGAAAAGAAACGAGAAGAATCACTCACCTAAAAATGTTCCGAAAAAAACGCTGACACTGGAACGTCAAATATAGGCGAAGCAAGATTTATGAGCCAATTCGGCAAAACTGGCGTTATACGCAAAAAAATTATAAAATAAAAGAGACTATCAAAATCAGAAATCTGAAAAACAGTACTGAAATTAAAATAAAATTACGATCTGACAGTGCTTGAGAGAACAATCTAACGTTCACTTATGTAATAACAGTATTTGTAGAAAACGCTTTGAAACGTCCCAGATTTACCCAAATTTCTCTTGAATAAACAATCATTCTGAACAACAAATCAACTGAGACTCGTTTGATTTCAAATTAATGCAAAGTTCGCGTCTAATAATTCGTCCTACATATATAATCTCTTGTTATTTTTTCCCCGCTAATATTCGGGAGTGAGATATATAGCTGTAAAATACAAACATTTTAACAAACCAAAACTTTAAAACCAGTAATCAAACCTCATTTTTCCATTTGCTTATTTTTTCCGGTGCAAATGCCATAATTCGTTCACGTCCAAATAGAAGAGCAAAGAAATAACATATTTGTGCGCCACAAGCAGAACACTAAACGTTTTGCTAATTTCAGTTCTTTGGTATTAATAAAAGAAGAAGGTATTAATAACTAAGGAAATAAGTAATGCATGCAGCTAAACAGTAAAACAATTTGACATCAATCATGACTTACCGTACAAACTAGACATAACGCAATTGGAAATGGAAATAAATATCCTGAAAGAACAGTGAGGAAAATTGAACCAGGAATAGCTAACGACTGTAACCTGAAAATACAGACAAAACCATGAAGTTAGGAAAAGGAAAATTTCTAAATGAAGTGATCACCGAAAATGTTCGATTACACTCATTATACCAGTGATTTGGTTATTGCAACGGCATTGGAGCTTCCTTAGAAAGGTCTATCATGCCAAATGCGATATTATTTCGGCTGAATTCCTGTCAGTTAGGATGTACACGATTGGTAAAGAGAAAGGAATGATAACTTAAACAACAATCGTAACAGATTTAGTTAGTATTTTGTACAATAAATTTCGAAAGTAATTCCGAATAATATCCAAAAAAGAAGAGTAGAGGAGAAAAGTGAGAAATAAACACTTGGGAGAGGAATAAATAGGCCGAATAATGTAAGATGCAGAGAGAAGGGAATTGAAGAACTTACATGATGTACACAGTTGATATACCAAACAGGACAGTATAATAATGCTTGTCCTTGTACTTTGAAAGAACCAAACCTAGTCGTTTTGCCTGTATAAGATCTTTTGGTAGTTTGAAATCAGCTCTCTCATCACTGGAACATATTAGCACGTTAAAATGAAAATAAAAATAAACAAGAAAGATTCGGGAAACAATTCATACGAAAACTGTAGTCAAAATTCGGTTCTTTTGATGAATCCCATTTGATAACCCTCTGCATACAATAAATCTGATTTAGTCTTTATTGTAGCCCTCCAACTCAGATGATTATAGAGCACAGACAAAGTCAGTTAAAAAAATGAAAATCCTCAACATTTCATACGTTGAATCTTTCGATAAAAAAACAATCCCCTCCACTACAGAACAATTTTCAAATGTTCAAATAATAAAATATTTCATGTCAAAACGGTGAATGATATTTCAAACAATCACAATATCAATAAAATGATTGAAAAATGATCGAAACTTACTCAGTAAGTTCTGGGAAGTTGATGTATAACGTAAATAAAACTAGAAATATGCCGAACAAGATGAAAGTTAAGAACATAAACTTGTTGAAATCCATATCACCAAAAATATCTCGACCCCAGTACAACGTACTAGTAATTTAGTTACTAATTAAATATAAATCCCCCCTGAAATACAAAATTATGATACAACAGGAAGAATGGGAATTTAAGTTTTTAATTCCTGAAAATCCATTGTTAAAACCATTTGCCGCACAAAGTCAGAGACATGCTCTAATAAAACATCACGGTCTACGACACTACCAGCCACTCTGTTTATCAGTAATTAAAAGTTACTCGATCGAACAGATAACAGGTAGCCAAAATGTTTTCCATCTGGATCCACTAAATAAATGAAAGAACAAAAAACATTCTGATACTTAAATTCCTTCCTACTAAACAGAACATCTGAGTCGATAGTGAAAAGGCGTACAGAACGTCAACTGTCACTCCTTTAAAAACAAACTAAATTTTATTTAAAAATCAACATCGTAACAACAAACAATGAACAAATTTCTTCAACGTAACGATCGATATTATTTTCCATTTATTTCAATACAAGTATCTCGGAAATTACAAAATACAATATGACCAAAAAGACAGGCAAAACGTAACAAGTACGAAGTCAAATTCCAAATAAAACCTGAATTTCAAGTTTCGTTTGAGACTTAATTTTTTGAAACTGCCAATTAATTCCAACTTTAATCTAAATAATCCTTTAAGCTTGCTAAAAAGTAGGAATATATTTAGGAAAAATATGAAAAAATACAACTGATAAGAACTATAATTTAAACATCTTTTCTTCGGAACCTATCAAGCACTGTTTTTGGAGAATCCTTCGCCTTCACTGTTTCTTTCACCAAAAATTCCTCTTCTAACTTTTTCCGTGCTTCGTTCATCGCAAATCTTTGCTCGGATTGCACACCCTGTTTGACCTGCTCCTATAAAAGTTTATAAATTCTTTAACAGCATACCAAGGATAGGCTACTTTTCCCTACTAGGTATAAGAAATATCAAGACATGACCAGGTGATTAGCACCCAAATTTCTTTACCTTTCTCAGAGCACTGCCTCGTCCTTTCTTCTTATTCTTCGGCTTAAATCTCACTTCACGTGGTTTTGTATGGAGCAACAACTTTAACCGTTCATTCTCTTTCTCAAGCAAATCCGTATTAACTTGAACGATTTCTGTAGTGTCTAAAGTGATCAGTTCTGGCTGGATCTAAAAGAAAATTTCAGGACATCATAATTGAATTCAATTAATTCATAACTGGATTTATTCGTATTCACATCACTGAAATT